CTATGATGAAAATTACAGGCCTCTCTCATCTTTTTAAGTGGGAGAACCTGCACAATTGGTGGCTGACTAAATACTTTTTTGCCCCACTGTATATTGCAGTGACTTCCCCAGGAAATAGTTAGGCAATCCAAAATAGTTAGGAAATAGTCAGGCCATTCAATACAATACTTAGGATGGCAACCTGCACCAAGAAAGCCCACCTAGCCCCCATTCCACTGAGATGCTAATCAAATATCATCTTTATCAAAATTTTTCGGTAGCTACCTTCCTCTCTTTCACATCACCAGTCGTGACGTGGCACCAGTCGTGAGTTGCATTTGAAGACAACTTGGACGCTTCAGCTAGCCCAAGCTGGCCCATTTTCTAGCTGGACCTGGCAGATTCAGCAGCCGTCTAACTATGCTATAGTTGCTGACCAGTTAGTGGATTGCTTCTGGGCTCAGTCAGGGTGATTTAAAGGTGATGACCTATTTGGCTTGGTGTTGGGCATCCAGAGGGCTGTCTTTTCATCCAAGAGTCAGCACATTTCTTCGGCCCCTGAGAGAAGGCATGATGACAGTTGCCACCCTCAGGAAGCAACAGGAGTCATCTCTGTGGCTGTGCCCTGTTTGGAACACCTCTAAGGGAGGCCCCTTACTGCTTGGCCCATGTGGCATAGGTCAACTTTACTTTCCTGCAAGGCATTTGGCGCCGATTTTAGGGTTGCTTTATATTATGAACGTTGCTTCTGTGAGTTAGTTATTCTGCTCTGTTTTGATTGTAAACTGCCTTGACTCTTAGGCATTCTATTAAAAAATTATACAAAAATAGCAAATATATAGTTTATTTGATTTTGGTTTCTTCTTCGGTCTATTAGTCATTGCTTTGATAGTTTTATTTACTACCTACATTGAGTTGTTTAAACTAATATAATATTTCACCTTTGTCAGTTTCTAGAATTTAAGGAAGGGCCTGAATCTTCACCTACTCTGTCTGTCGAAGGCAAGCAATTAACATTACTGTTACAGGGCAAGAACCTTATGAGCTCGCGTGAGAGCTGATGTGATGGCTTCAAGGGACATTGGAGGCTGCAGAGGTGACAGACCATTGTGGCCGTCTTGGAGCCCTGAGAATTGGCGGTGGCACTGGACTTTGAAGAATGGAGAAGCTGTACCAGATCTGCTGGGACTGAGACTGGGGCGGCACTTCAGGTGTGACTGTTGGGCCCAAGATCAGTGGTGGGCCTGAGGAGGGCTGGAGTGAGTCTGCTGGGCCTGGACAGGGCTATGCCTAGGCTGTTGGGTCTAAGACCTGTACAGACTCCAGGGAGGCCACCAGGCCCAGGGAGGCCTGCAGCAAAGGCTGTGGCGGTGCTGACGTGGCAAAGTGGGCTCCTCACCATTCCCCCCCGACTAATGTCGGGGGGAATTGGGGGGTTCTTAGTTACTTGGACCACTGGTGGGTGGGGGCTCTATAGAGTGGGGTGGGGGCCTTTTCACCCTTGAGGGCATGAGTGTCCTGCCTTAGGGGTGGGGCTGTGGGTGGAGCCTGAATGATCTCCCCTGCTGGGGCTTAAAACCCCCAACAACACCATATGCTTAGCAGGTGTGGCTAGTGGGGGCAAGGTTCCAAGGGGGGAGTCACCAGGGAGACTGAGTTGCTGTATGTATGCAAGGGGGAGAAGAGGTTGGGGTATGTGGCCTGGGAGGAAACATGGGGTGCAGGACCATCTCAGAAGTGATGGGCAGAGGGAGCTATGGCAGGAACCTGAGGGCGGGCTACTCTTGGGGACATTCAGTTTGCTGTTTGAAAGCAGTCTTGCTGTCTGGCCCTTGGCTTCTACCCTCAGTGCCTGGCTATCGGATCCTGGACCTGGGCTCCAGCTGCTCCTTCTGAATCCAGATGGGTGTATAACAAAGCTGCCCTTATCCATGATCTTAGGAGAAGGGGGTCAGTCTGCAGCTTATCTAGACCCATTTCAGACAAGTTTCAGGCCAGGATTTGGTATGGAGACAGCCTTGATGACCTGTAGGGGAGCCTTGTGCTCCTTGAGATCTCAGCAGCTTTTCATGCTACTGACCACAGTATCTTCTGAGTGGTTCCATGGGCTGGGGATTGGGGACACCTTGAGAGACAGGAGGAAGAGCTGCCGCCTAGACAACAGTCTGATAAGAGAAATCTGAGTCGAAAGCAGGAATGGGGGTGGAGAAAGGGTCCTAGAATTGTCTCTCCCTAGTTCTCTGGAATGGAAATGGGGGGAGCACTTTCAGACTTGCAAGATTCTGTTACCGTAACCTTACAATAAAGGTTTTGGTTTTCCGGTTGGGACTACCTTGAAGGGCTGACAGCTGGTTCCAGTCAGCACTGGCCAGAGGAGAGCGTGTTCCCTTGGCCCCTCCTTTGTGGAGTGCCTCAGGGTTCTACTCTCTCTCCTTGATTTCAACATCTGCATGAAACCACTGGGTGAGGTCATCTGCTGGTATGGGGTTCATGATTCGTATGCTGATCATACCCAATTATCTCTTTGAACTCCAGGCTGGCCGAGTGAGGCTGTGGAGGTTCTATCCTAGTGCCTGGAGGCTGTGCAGATTTGGAGGGAGATGAACCAACCCTGACTCAATCTTACCAAGAACAAATAACTGTGTTTATTAGGGCCACCTGGATCTGGGAATATTCCATTTCTGACCTTGATGGGATGCCACTTCCCCATTCAAGAGTGGTGTACGATCTGGGGTCTTTCTGGACTCACAGCTCCTGCGTGAACAGCAGGTGTCAGCTGTAGCCAGGAAGGCCTTTGTACAACTCCATCTTGTGTGCCAGTTGCACCCTTTCCTATATCGGTGGGGGGAGGTCCTTCAGACAGTCACTCGTGCCCTAGTCACCTCATGGCTTGACTACCGCAATGTGCTCTACATGGGGCTGCCCTTTAAAACTACCCAGAAGTTTCAACTGGTCCAGAATGGGGTGGTGTGAGCAGTAACCGACATGCCTCGGTACGCCTGTGTAACATCTCTGCATCATGAGCTGCACTGGCTGCCGGTGTGCTTCCAGGTGCAATTCAAGGTGCTGGTTGTTACCTATAAAGCCCTTCCTGGCACAGGGCCCGGTTACTTGCAGGCCTGTCTCCCAGTGGCCGCTCGGCCAATTCAACCTGGCAGGGCTGGTGTGCCCAGGTTCCTCTGGCCGAACAATGCCACCTCCTCCGCCGCAGCGAACGAGCTTCCCCCCCCGGTCCGGACGCCCCCCCCTGCCGCAGTTTAGGAGTCTCGGCGCTCTCGGACCGCGCTGGGCCACTCTCCTTTGTTCCCATCCGGTTCTGCCTTTCTGCCACCGTCACCCTTCCTTTGGTTTTCCTTGCTTTCATGGCCTAAAACCGCTGGGAGTCGGGCGGCACTCGCAGTTAGAGCAACAGCAACA